CCGACCGACCGACCGACCGACCGAAGCGATCGAACGCCACTTACCCTGGCAGGCATCCTGATTCGTCTCGAATGCGCAAAGCATGTCGTCCGAGATCAAATTTTGATAGTTGTCCTCGACGTCTGGATCTTTCGAGCGGCGACAAAMGCGATTGGGAACAAAGGATGTATTTGTTTCCTGGAGTACTTTGGGATTGGTGCTAGCACCAAACTTTGTATACGTGGTCGTTCCGATCCCGAGAATGGTCAGGTTGTTTCCCTCCTCGCCGTGGTTGTTGCTCCCGTTGCGGTCGCCCTGCCCCCCAAAGCCGTGGCCGCCGCTGCCGCTGTTGCCGGTCGCCCTTGGCACGCCCGGGTCCGTGTTGATGGCAACGTACTGCTTGGCCGAGGTCCTCTCCAGCCGAAAGAGGAGGACGTCGTGCGAGAAACTCACCCCCGCGTTGAAGAGCGGGTGGACGTGCAGCGGACCCAGCACCCTCTGCATCTCGGTGGTGTCGCCGCCGCCGCCGCCACCGGGGGAGGAACGGACCGGGCCCGCAGAGTACTTTCCGACCTGGGCAAAACCGATCTCGTCCTTGCAGTGCGCGGCGGTCACGACGACGTCCGGGGCCACGAGGGTCCCCGCGCACCTGTGCGTCCCGTTGTAGACCTCCTGGAGGGAGACAAAGTAGGGGTAGCGGTCCGAAGGCGCGTCCCTGCCGCCCACGACGAGCCTGCGGGCGGTGGTTTCCGTGCCCGCTCCGCGGAGAAGGGAATCGCTGCGCTCGTTCTCCTCCAGAGGGCCGGAGGTGATCGACCCTCCCCCCCCGGTCTTCTCTCCGCGCGAAGCATTGTTGTTTGTGGCCGCGTCGATCGTTGCTCCCGCTACCGACGCCGTGGAAGAGTGTGAGTGGGCTTCGATCCATGCGGAAAGAAGAACCGCAAGGCAGACCGACCGGCACATCGACCGGATTCCGAGACGGTGGCAGCAGCGGCGGCAACGGCAGCGGTAGCGGCGATGGGGGAAGTCCGTGTTGTTCCGGTGGCAACGATCGCACCTAGTCGGCATACCTTATCGACTTCGTTTGGATTGCGGCCCTTCGGTGCTGCATCAAGGAAGCTCGAGAATCAAGAACATTGACTAGTACTGTTAGACAATGCGAATAGAATAGAATGCGGTGTTGTGAGACCAAAGCATTGATGCCCCACGCCGCACGACACGRCCATGCTGTTCTTCTGTAGAGGGGCCGAGCAAGCGATTCCGCGTCCGGTATTCTGGTGTGATGGAACTTTTCCGTGAAGGCGGTGCAGGAATCAAATCCTTTCAAGTGCTTCGTACGAACGTACGTACCTGTACGGGTACTGGTACTTGTACTGTGCGAAGGCGATGGTGTTGACGGTTGACACCACGACACAAACAAGGCCATCGCATCGGAGCGGAGCCCGCGACTCATGCGTTTCACTCCCACCAAAAACGGCGAATGGGGATCGAGAAAGACTAGGAATTCGGGAATGGAGGCGSCGCTGCTCTCTGTGTTGACTAGTTCGATTCGATTCGATCCATCAGTTGGCTTTTGAGACGTGCTTCGTGTGCGGAAGATGGAGAAAGCGTGCCAAGTGAGTGGAAACGAAACGAAACGAATGAATCGCAGCGGAGCACTGCGTACGGTACGTACGTACGATCCTGCGTATTGCACCGCAGGCTGAACGATRCTTGATACTTGCGCACCGACCGGCAGAAAAGCAGAGGTCGTTTGCTCACGCTCACGATTGCTACACCAACCACTGGTTCGACCAACATTTATCACAGTCTGCGACGAGAACCGAAAAGCCGGCCGAGGACAGCGTGCTCGGYTTCACCGGAGAGTGCGTGCGATCGGACGAAGTGCCCGACGGCTCGATTGTGGGAGAGAAGAAAGCAAAAACCGGTTCGATTCGTTCCCAGAGTGGATCGAGACACAAGAGACGGAATCCGGGAAAGGCAACCGCAACACCAATTTATCGCGATGCCCGGTTCCCMGCTGCCCTCGTCCCCGTCGTCGATTTCTTCCTGCCGGATTCTCTGGGCGACCCAATCCGGCAGGGCCAAGGCGTGTGCCAGACGAACGGCGCGGATCCTGGGAGAGAGAACCTCGCTGAAGCTAGAAGGCGGCATCGGCTGCGCCTTTGACGAGACGGCCGTGCCGTTTCTGGAACTGCTCACCGGCAACAAGGCCGGCAATGCCGACGGCACCCTGTTCCTGATGTTTGTCAGCACCACCGGCGACGGCGAGCAGTGCGACACGATTCGAACCACGTGGAAGTCCCTCCTACAGAAATCCCTGCYCCGGAACCTCCTGGCGGAGGGCAACGAAAAGTTTGCCCTGTTTTGCCTGGGGGATCGTGCCTACGGCMACCAGTTCTGCGCCGCCGGTCGCAAGCTGGCGGTGCGGTTGCTCCGGCTCGGGATGCCATCCTTTTGCGAGGTGGGCTACGGAGACGACAACACGCCCAACGGGGGGGTCTTTCGGGACCTGGACGACTGGCTGGAGGGGGTTTTGCTGCCGGGGTTGCTGGAATCGTGGCCGAGAGTGCCGCTTGCGGGAGGAGAGAGTGCCGACCGCGAGGCAGCTTGCCGGCCCTTTCGGGTGGAAATCCTAGGCGAACGGGAACGGGAACGGGAACGAATCGGGTCCAATGGGGAAACCACGGAACGAACGACCGCACCCAAGAGCGAGCGATGCGAAACCGAAACCGAAACCGAAAACGACAAAGAATCGGAARCRCCGGAATGGAAACGAGAATTCTTCAGGGATTCGTACCGCGATTACTTTGCGGCAAGGGGCCCGATCACGGCGTATTCCTATGACCCAACCCGGGGCGACAGAACCACCGCATCTACCGTGCCGGGCGCGAGAGCGGCCCCGCTGCTGGGCAGAATCGCTGCAAACGACCGGATCACCGCCTCGGACTGGAACCAGGACACCCGCCACCTAGAAATCCGCCTCGCGAGGCCGGAGCCGCGGCCGCTGCCCCCTAGCGGCTGCCGCAACGAGGCACGCACCGGCACGCCAAGCAAAGGCCCATCGCCGTTGCCGTACGCGGCGGGGGACGTCGCATCGRTCCTCCCGTTCAACTCGAGAGAAGAAGTAAACCGGTTCCTGGGGGTTCTTCCCGACTCGATTTCGTCTCGTCCGGACGCACCGATTCGGATCGATCTGGACGACTTTTACGCAACCGACAGTCGATTCACTCGGTGGCCCGGTCGTTGTACACTCCGGGGCTGGCTCACCTATTGTGCGGACATCCAGTCACTCCCGGAACGAGAAGACCTGCGGGCTCTGAGTGTCTACTGCGCWMCGGGCGACAACGGTTCTCTGGACCAGAGCAACAAGCTGCGGTCCCTCAGCGAAACATCGGAAGCGGCTCTCTATGCCGACTACATCCTGCGMGAAAAAAGGTCTTGGATCGATGTGTTCCACGACTTTGAATCGCTGCGAACGCAAGGCTCGCGCCTGACGCTGGAGTCGCTCTTGGTCCTTCTCCCTCCGATGCGCACGCGGGATTTTAGCATTGCCAGCTCGCCATCGATGGGTCGAATCTTGGGGGATTTCAACCGCGGCGGCGGCGTTGGTCCCGACTCCCGTGCCGGCGCAGGTKGMGTGGACGAATGGTTCTCCATCGAGCTTTGCGTAGCGGTSGTGGAGGGGAAGACACGCCTCGGCCGGAGCTATCACGGTCTCTGCTCGAAGTTTCTGTCTCGGATCGCCCCGTCCGATGTRGGAGCAKCGAACAACGAATCGTTCTCGTTCAAACCATCTACCGAATTGCAAATCTGGATCCGTCCTGGTACCTTTGGTAAACTGCCAACCCAGCTAGCGAGCGATGGCTCGTCGTCCTTTGAGGTACCGATCGTGTGCGTGGGTGCCGGTACCGGGATCGCTCCGATGCGATCGCTYMTCTTGGAACGAATCGCCGTGCGATCACTGGCGATAAAGCGAGAGACAAGAGATCGATCCGCCAGCGATTGCAAGACSGACTCGGAAGATCCCGGATTGTCCTTTGATAGAAATGACAACATCCTGGTGTTCGGGTGTCGGAAGCAAACAGCAGACTACTATTACCAAGACGAGTGGCGGGCACTCAGCGAAGAGAACAACATTCGGATACTGACTGCATTCAGCCGGGACCAGGTCCGAAAGATTTACGTCCAGAAAGTATTGCGCGACGGCGATGACGGTGCATTGATCGCGAAACACATCCTCGAACGGGGAGGCGCTGTTTTCATTGCCGGCGGCCCGAAAATGGCCCGTGCCGTAAAACAGGAAATAGTCGAAGCACTGTCGGATTTGTTGCCGGGCGGGGAAAAGCAGGCAAATCAGCTTCTGAACAAGATGCAACGAATCGGACGATTCAGCATCGAGGCATGGAGTTGAGTCAACGGACGAGGCATCGAGAATCAATCACCTGCCAGATATCGTRTCGCAAAGCCAACTTTGTGCAGTTGTAGATGGTGTCCTTCTTTCATTCCATACCGTACTTTGGATAAAGCTAAAGCACCCACAAAGATCATGTTCGCATTCATCTTGATCACAACACACAGTACGTACTCAGGATACAGTCATAAATCTAAATTACAGATTATGAGAATAGAAGGATCTCCATAGTCTAAGCAAGACTATTTTTTCCTTTTGACAACTGGCAGTAACACAAGAGCAGCGCGGCGAAAAGAACGATCGCTTGAAAGTTCGCGGTATTCTTCATTTCGGTTCCAAGCGATGCGGTGACGATGCTAGAAGATTGTTGGTTTCCTTTGCTACGATAATCGACGCAAATCCAATTGGATTYGTGTTCTTGACCAAAGACGTGCTCATAAGCATCTGTCGCATTCGGATTCAATTCATCCATGGCCATGCTTGCCATTAATAACGGAGGGGCGTCTGGATCTTCACCAATGCTGCGAAGCACGACGCGACGTTGTTCAAAGTCAACTTCGATTTCACCGAAATTCTTTTCCAAGGAAAATTGCAACCCGGTCTTGGCATTCTCTCCGCCTCCGTTAGGATACAAAGCACCGGATCCCGAGGTGGTGGTTTCCTCCGAGTTCATCAACGACTTCCAGGGATGAATGCGATGGAGTAATTGTATTGTGTTGCTCCTGACGAAGAGGCCGAATCGAGCCGACCACGACGGTGATAAACGTTTCACGTCGGTTGTCACTAAAGGTGGACTCGGCAGTGTCCCCCAGGTGTGAGTCATTCCACTCGTCGTCATTTCAATGAGCGGTCGGTATTTCAAAGAATTGCTGTTATCCTTTGGTACGCAATGCCTGCGATGAAACTGTGTCATGTGAACATCCTGTGAAGATAATGGAGAAGAAGAAAATCGTGAGATACCTGTTCGCATTAAAGCAACTGATTATACCATATGTCCATCTCTAAACGCTGACGTACCCCACTGACAAGAATAGGTGTCTTTGCATTTGCTTGAAGTATGGCATTGTACAATCGTTCCCTTGCTTTTGGAAACTTGTTCCAAGACTCATTAATGTTACTGTTCGGGAAAATGGAGCCGTGAATCTGAAGTCCGCTAACTACGATGTTAACCGATGCGCGGGATTGTCGAATAGCAGATTCAAACCATCTCCATTGGCGCTCTCCCAAGAAGTCTCCGTTGTGATCGAGACGATATGCCTCCAACCCCTTTTTCCAGGGATCCTTATTCGTTCGTACATCTAATACGAATATCGCAACAGTTTTTTCTCCATACGAATATACAGATTGAAAACTACGCCCTGATGCTTGAGCATCAGGATCTATCATAGCCTCCATCTCTGGTACTTCGTAGTTTCCTTGCGGTCGATCGAAGTCGAACAATTTCACTCCGTAGACACCATACCCAGCCTTGGCACGATATCTCATCAGTGATTCTTCTCGAGTTTCATCAGGGTTATCGCCTTCGATGAAATCCATGTATGCCAGACCACTTTCGTATCGATAAGGAAATGTCTTGTCGGCGTTGTCGCATCCGTAATCGTGATCGTCGAAAGTTCCGAACACAGTGACGTTTGGGTTGTCTAACACGGCAAAGCGGTACCCCGGAACGTTGCGCTGCTTAGCATAGTATGCTCGCAACCGATCGGGGGTGCCGCAAACTGTCTTCTTAGTTGGTACTGGAATTCTCCAGTTCCTGTCGGCTGATGGAACTTCCTCGTCTACAATTGTGCAATACGAAACCATTAGGAAGCAGATTCTTTCAAAGATGGGCTTGTTCGGCTGGTTTTGATCTTCTTCTTACCTCCGTATATAGCATCTCCAGCCCATACAAATGCATCTGGACTCCGCGATTCGATAATTGGCCACAACTTGTTCTTTAGATTGTGATTGTTGCATGATGCAAAGTGTACTCGATGTACATTGGTGCTGCTCTTCATTGTCGTTTCGGCCATCTTTACAGCACTGTTCTTCAAGTTCTTGACACTGTTTCTTGGCAAAAGTTGCTCGTCGAAATCACTTGGGTTACCTTATTGTGAAACAAAATCAGTACGTGAGAATCGAATGCAACTCAATCTTGCCGGTTGATGTTTTTGTGGAGATTCCTCCAGTGGAAGTTCTCCTTGCTCTTAAACAATGATGTTTTTATGCTTCGGCAGCAAAGTTTCTTCGCTATGAATAGTTCTCGTACGTACCGTATGGTAGAATCAATGTTCAGATGAATCTTTCTCAGGTTTTTCTTGAAGATTCGTTCGTTCGTTCGTTAAAAATTTGAAGTACGAGTACTACGCGTACGTAACGTTGCGGATCAATTGAAATTACGTTTCACAGGGCATTCCGGATGTTAGAATTGAAGTTCCCAATGTTAACTTATCACCATACTAGGCCTTTGTAGAAATGACTACTGCAGTTTTTTGCTTGAATTAACATTCTGAATGCTCTGCTTAACAGCCTGAATGTTAGCAGGCAAGGATGTCCTTCTTCCTCGTTTTTAGATCCCTTCTTCCTTTTTTAAGGTATGTGCAACAAGACCCAAATCATTGTTTTACTACTAGCTAGGAAGGTCGTACTACTACTACTASTACTAGTACTAGCACATTACCACATTGAAGAATGGGGATACTATGATCTACTTGCGGCTACGGAAATTTAATAAGATTCTGAATGTTAAATTAACATTCTGTACCTTAATTTCAATGTTCCCAACCCCTTATTTTAAGAAAGTACAATTGTTATTTTACGTGTAGTACTAGTACTAAAGAGTGTTACTAGTATGTCACTGCAGGCCTASTACGTAGATTCTAGTTTCCCAATAATCCACATTCTTCAATGTGGTAGCATGCTACTACCTTCCCAAAATAGTTATTTGGGTCTTGTAGTACATACTAGTACATACTAAAAAAGGAAGAAGATGACACCTCCCCTGCTAACATTCAGACTGTTGAGCAGAGCATTCAGGACATTAGTAAATTGAACCAAAAACCACAGTACTCATTTCTACAGAACCTATGCTGCTAACATTCAGAATGTTAAATTAATATTCCCAATGCCTCAATTAATGTAGTTTCAATTGTTGTTTTACACATAGTATTGATGTTATTACTTGTACATACCCACATGTTTGTTGTACCAGGTACTCATAAGGGGAAGAAAGGAGGAGAGGTAAGAAATATGAGCAGAAAAATACTCATCAGTACAACAATGGATGATTCCTGTAAACATAGAAATTAAGACAACACRCACTAAGAATTTGTGTATGGGAATAAGTATGTAACTACATACTAGAATTCTACTAGATATTGAATTGTGGCAGACTGCATGTGACTAATTTAGATTATGGAATTTTATTTATCTTTTTTTATTCTCTTCCCCCCCCACTGGTTTTAGTGGAATTTCAAATTAGAAATGTTGAATCAACAAGGATTCCTCCAAAATATATATATGTGCTGCATATATACTTTGGAAGTACCAGTAGGGAACTTTCTACTACCAAAAATCTGTGTATCTGTGTCAAAAATACGACATACTTTTTTGTGTGCATGACTGAAAATTAGTAAATGCAATTACATAGATTCCTCTGTGTTCACAGGAATCACCCAATATCACAGTAGGTACATACATCCATACTACTAGCGTTTATTATTTGTACTACTAGTACCAGTACTAGTACCTTGTTAGGATGGAAGTGGGAGAGCAAAGGAAGATGAGATTTGTTTGTATGTAGTAAAAACAGGAGCACAGTATTGTCTCAGCAGGAGGGAATGAAAAAGCACTTTAGTGCTGGGAGCACTCCTCCTCTCTCATCCAGAATCACTGTGGTACAAAAGAATTTGTTGTGCAACAACAAGAACAACAAGACATCATCATCATGTACTAACTGATGGGCTATCTAGCTGAGGATTCTACCAGCAAGATAGATTGAAGTAATATGAGAGTGCTGCTGATGGAGGTTCTTGTAACTACTGCCGGTGCTACTAATGTTGTCACCAACAAAAAGTAGTACCTAGTAGTACTATCCCTATGGTACAAGAAGTTCTTCTTGTGCTACCAACAGGAGGGCTACTGGTGGTGATGTGAACATTGCTGCTGTTAATAGTACTACTATGCAAATCCTAATAAAAAGTGTAATGGTCTTGATTGGATACAGAGCAAATGATACAAGAATTTGCAATACAACAAGTGCCAAGAATACGAATGCCTCTGTGTTACAACAATGATATCATGGAAGGCTGCACCAGCTGGAACAASAASAASAAGAAGAAGAAGTAAGCTGCAACTAGATTACCTTGTTCTTCTTACAGCAGGAGCATTGGTTCCTGCAGCAGTAACAAGGGATTATAGTACAAGTGATACAGAAGATGAGAAAATACAATAATCCTCCTCCTACTGAGAGGGGGGAGCAACACCAATAGAACAGCCTTCTTACCCAGCAGCTCACTATTATAACATYCCCACTAGTAGTAAGTAGTAACAATAGAGATTATTTGGTAGTAAGCACTGATGGAAAAGTTTAAGTACTAGCAACCACTGATATTGTATCTCCAGTAGTAAGGACCACTAATCGAAATATTTTTGGACTTACTGTGTGGAGGGCAGGGACAGCAAGGAAAATGAAAAAATGACAATTGAGGATTTCCAATGGGTGATTCCCATAAATCTAGATTGATTAAATGYCTAAATTGACTACTCAATATAATCTAGACAAATAGAAAAGGGATGAAATGCTGGCTTGATACCAGTTTTAGGGAATTTGGAATCTCAAATATTTACATTATTAGTATGACTATACAAACTACTACYAGAGTGGGTTTGCAGGCTTTGGTACAAGGAAAAACATGTTGGACTCAAAATATAAAAATTTGTGGATTCCACTCCTCTAAATCTACTAGTCAGTTTTTAATGCTGGGGGTCTGAGGAGGGTTGTTCAAAAATGACTAGATTTAGTAAATCTAGATGTCATTTCTCATCTGTCTGTCTATCAGATCTAGTAGTCAAAAGATTGGGYGATTCCCATTTATCTAGCAGATTGACCACCAAATGTCTACTAAATGGACTACTTGAGACAAGTRGACCAACAAGAAGGAAAGGGAAGCAGGTTTGTTGTCACCAAATAAGTTTCTGGAATCAAAAAATTTCAAAAGGTTTCGAAAGTTTTGAGTTGCAAAACAGCGGTACTTGGGCAGCGACAATGGCGATCTTTTCAAAGTCGTTGTTGAGTAACAATTTATTGTCGTAACTGCGTGATGATAAGTTCAAAGACGATGGCGGTGACAATGCGTATGCGTTGTTGAAGACAATGGYGGTGACAATGCGTATGCATTGTTGATGTGTTGTTCAAAGGGGTGTGTTGATGATGCGGTGTCATGTCGTAGTGAGGAGAGATCACGCCTAAAAAATTATCACCATGGTGGTGATGAATTTTATTGGAAGGGTGTCATAACCTGTGGGAGTGACTGTCCTAATAGTGATGTAAAGTKTGTGCTAGAAGAAAAGTGAGTCSATGCTCTTATCGAGGATYRRYGAACTATGAAATCTAGAATCGATCACTGTGAGGATCAAGTGATGTGTGAATTGAATGAGTCGAGTCACTCAAGCAAGTGAATGAAATGAGTCATATCAATCGTATGAATCCAGTGGGATTGAGTGAATCATATATGTATGGTGTGTATGAATCATAGATAYGTATCATATGTATATGTCGTAGATATGAGTCATACGCACRGTCTGATATCCTACAGACAGCACAGACTGCGTGCTCAATGCTAGTGTTTCTGGGAATTTGGAATCTCAAGTATAGTTCAAGGGAATGACTAAAAAGAGGAAGTTGGCAGTTGCACCACTTTCTTGGTGGTACCACTACTTCTTCTAGTAGTAGTACTACTAGCTAGTAGTACTAGCAGTAGTACTAAGAATAAAGACATTTACTAGTCGCGCAGAGGCATTTAATTATTTTGAAAGGTGCATGTTCTAAAAATTAGTGTCGCGCAAGGTTAGGAGAGGTGCAGAACACTCTCTCAGACGTAGTACTCTACTACTAGTAGTAGTRCACTAGTATTACTACTACTACTACTACTAGTACTGCCAGCAGTGCTCTATCCTCGTTATTCAACCATAGTTTCATGCCAACAAACAAAAGTGCCACACAATATGTCTCCTTGAAACTATTAGTATAATGTACTGCTGGATATATCACAATGACCCAATAACTTGCCACCACCAGTGCTGGGCTCTGGTCTTGCCTTCAATAGCAATATGGTATGGTACGGTACGTATCAACTCAGGGACGATCATCATTGACTATTTTACCACGCCGGGCACGCTACCAGGCAATAGTCTGGCAATAAGAATGGTAACTTGCTGGCGTTACCAGAACAGTTACAACAATCTGGTAGGATTTATGGTAGCAATCCGGTATTCTTACCAGTTACCAAAATCTGACTAGAATTGCTACCATCTTGCTACCATCTTGCTACCATCTTGCTACCATCTTGCTACTACCATCTTGCTACCATCTTGCTACCATCTTGCTACCATCTTGCTACCATCTTGCTACCATCTTGCTACCATCAATGCTACCAGATTGCTACCACAAACACTACCAAAATATATGCCGCGTTACCAGAATTTTTTTTAAATATCCCAGCCCCCTCTTAAGTATGACTCATTCAAAAGAATACGGGGGCTAAGAGAATCTAATTATTATAGAAAATATTTATGGTAAAATGGTAGCTACCAGATTTCGACTAGAATTGCTGCTACCATCTTGCTACCATCTTGCTACCATTTTGCTACCATTTTGCTACCAGATGGTAGCAATTTTAGTCGCAAGATGGTAGCAATTCTGGTAGAAATTCTGGTAGAAATTCTGGTAGTAATAGTTTCTTGGAGGTCCCGGGACTGCAAATATGCTTCATTTTTTATGTGTTAAGCTGCGCCTGCTGTTTCCATTGCAGTAACTGGTCTAGTAGGAAAGGTGCGTGGTAAAATCTTCAATGATGATCGTCCCAGWACGCTTTTTGAGACTCCTCTTCAAAAAAAGTCTCCTTCTGTACCGGTGAAAGAAGGGCTCCTCGTATCGTTTCTTCCATCGAACAATTCAGTTTGTACAGGAAACTACTACTAGTAGACTCGTACTTTTTCGACTGTTTTCGAATGCATKATTTCCGATTTTATTCTTCACACCTTTTCCRTTTCAGCAAAACGTTTTTCGCAAGATTTTTTGAACCCAAAAGGCATTTCCCATACGAAAATGGCGGAACAGAAACCAAGCAATATTTGTTGTACTCGAGGTTGTCTGGACGATGAAAGCAAATCGATCCCTGAACTTATAGACGAAGGCAAATGGGATCTCGTTAGAAACTGGTACGAAGCTCATCCGGAAGAAATCAGAGGACATAAAGACGCTTCGAACGGATCGACTATCCTTCATGCACTTTGTTCCATTCCTTCAACACCAGTCGATTTACTTGAAGTCGTTATTGATATCTGGCCTGGAGCCTTAACGATTCAAGAATCTAAATACGGAGCCACTCCACTCCATCTCTTGTGCTGGAGGGTCCAGCAGCGATCTCCGGAGAAAGCCAAGGCTCTTCTCGAACGAATGAAACCAAAAGACATCCTCATCAGAAATAAAGTGCTAGGTTCTACAGTGCTTCATTCAGCCTGTGGAAGTTTTGCCGATGCATCTGTGATCGAAGCAATTGTTCGGAAAAATCCCCAGGTGTTGCTTGTGAAAACCTTTGATCAGCACACGGCGCTCCACGCACTTTGGCATTCACATCTCCAAAGTATACCTATGCACTTGCAAATTGCCCGTATTCTAAACGGTGAGCCAGYAACAGAAGAGATTTTTCTGCGTTTCTGGAATAAAGTGCAATTCTTGGCGTTGGAAAGCTTGAATTTCTTCTCTGAATCTTTGTCAGAATCTCCAAGAGATTCAGTTCAAGAAGAACATTTATCGAGATATATTTTACATGGTTTGCTTTGCATGAAAGGGCCTTTGGATGCGCTATTAGTGGCACTAAATCTTAATCCTGAATCAGCTTCCTACCCAGATTCAGATGGAAATTATCCTCTTCATCATGCAGTTATTCGGCGTCCTTTTCGAGTCAAATTCATAGACCTCCTGCAGGAACTACTAAAGGCATTTCCTGAAGCTTCAGGGCAGAGGAATAATGTTGGTGACACTCCTATTCATATTGCCATTCGTGAACGCATTGCGTGGGAAGATGGATTGGGTGAAATAATTGAAGCAAACCCTTATGCCTTGGGAATCCCTGATAAGAAAACAGGTTTATACCCTTTCTTGATGAGCGCTTCACTAGGTGGAAATGTCGCCATCAACACTACGTTTCGCTTGTTGACGGCAAAACCTGATCTTGTGAAGCAAGCATGTAGTAGGTGACATTTGTTAGCTAGTAGTACTACTAGCAGGACCCTCGTCTAATTTCTGAAAAGCTAGTAGTACTACTAGTAGTACTTCTACTAGTAGTAGTACAAACCTTAAATTTCTTGTTATTATTATTATTATTATTAGTAGTAGTAGTAGTATGTGTTCACTTGTTATAAAACTTCTATTACTAGTACTGAAAGTAGTAGAAGTGCTATGTTCATACTGTCAATAGTAGGAGGTACTATTAAAAGTAGTACTGTAATTAGTGATACAGTTTGTGGATCACTTCTATTTTTTATTTTTGGCACGTACTATTGTACCGTATCTTGGTTTACATTTTTTACACCGGTCATCCTCATTAGGACTAAAAATAAAAAACGCCGCATCCTCTTTTTACGGTTGCTCTTCGAAACAACATGTTGCATTGCTTCTTCGGCTCTCTCTGTCGCAAACGAACTAAACGAACAGTACTGTAAGTACTACTAGTTACAAGTTCGAGCACAAGTACTACTACGCTAGTAATTCTTCCTTTGTCCCTTCATTGGAAGAAACGGAGGTAATCGCACCCTTAGGTTTTGAAAGAAGAGAGAAAACAAATATTATTTCGAAGCTTCTCCTGCTTCGACAAATATCGATTCATCAGGTTTACCAGAGGTGCCTGGATCTTCCTTTCCTTTTTACACTTGCAAACAAGGTATCGACACTCGGGATCCCGAGAAAGCTTAAAGCACGAAGATGGGCGACGCAATAAGTTCGTTGTTATTTCAGCCTCCTCCTCCTACATATCTTCATCCGTCTCGACATTTTTGGCTCAATACAGTCACGGGTTCTCGGATTCCTGCATTTTATATTGAACGTCCAAATGCCCAAGTAACAATTCTATTTTCACACGGAAATGCCGAGGACCTTGGGATGATATATGATTGGTTCAACGATTTAGCGAGAGTGTTGCGAGTCAATATTATGGCATACGACTATACAGGCTATGGAAAATCGAATGGTTCTCCGAGTGAAGAGAACTGTTACGCAGACATCGAGTCTGCGTATCAATATTTGTTAGAAGTGAGGGGACTACAACCAGAACAGATTGTTCTGTATGGCAGATCACTGGGTTCTGGTCCTTCGTGTTACCTAGCTTCCAAAACAGCGAACGAAGGTCAAAGTATTGGAGGGGTGATATTGCAGAGCCCCTTACTCAGTGCCTATCGTGTTGCTTTTGATTTTAGATTCACTATGGCTGGCGATAAGGTAAGTCCAATGGCGTAGACTTCCGTTGTGTTCGTTTACTCCGAACTTTGTTTTTTCGTGGACAGAAATTGAAATAAACTGATCCCAACTYTTCTTGAACGCAATGCGAAATAGTTCCCAAACATTGACAAAGCGCCATCAATCCAATGTCCTGTCTTCATTGTCCATGGAACGCAAGATGAAGTCGTCCCTTTTTGGCATGGGGAGGATTTATTTATGGCACTGCCACAACAATGGCGGGCAAAACCATTTTGGGTAGAGGGTGCGGGGCATAATAACATCGAAGCATTACTGCGGCCGACTGGTGCATTTGTTGACAAGGTTGTGGAATTTTTGGATTTGCACATCGGTGCAAGACGAGGAAGAGTGGCAAAGCCGATACCTGTACCGGAATGCGTTCCTKTGGCGATTCGTGAAATGAATGCAGCAAGAGACGGAATCTCCGCGTGATGTAGCAGCTGCAATCCATTAGCATAACGTGAATAGTAGAACCCAGTCGATTTGATTTGACTCCAGTGTTCCTCGTAGTATGCCGGCTTCGACCCCGACACCTCTTCGATCATGATAATATACGTGTACTATACTATTGCGAATTCAGCATGAGATAAAAAGAATGAAGTAACGGCGGTAGAGTAAAAGCTTGTTTGTTGTACAGCAAAGGTGGAGTACGGTCTCGTTTCTTTCTTCATATTGAATCCCATCCTGTGAGCAACTGTATCAAACATCGGTAACCAAAGTAGGAAGCGGTGCTCTGAAAAAGAAAATTGTCTATTACCAGGTATTTACTTTCACAACAACAAATGGCTACTAGAAATGACCCGGAGTGACAATTTGTGAATACATTCAAAGAATACTACCTTTAAAAATACAGTATGTGTTCACATTCCTGTTTCTCCTAAAATTATCACCCAAACAATTTGACAAGTTTGTARGTGAATCAGTGAAGTCAGAGAAGAATGTTCTTTTGTGGGAAGTGAAAGGTGGCGTAATGTAGACAAAGGTGAGGATACATCTATGACTAAAACTTGAAATCTGATGATTGTTAAGTACCAAATGCAAGTAACTTTTTACCATCAGTTGATCAGTTTTGTTGTATTGATGCAAGTCTTGTCTAACAAAAATAATTGTTCAATCACCAACAACAAAGCAGAAGAGCAAAAACAGAGCAAAGCTGCTATGATTGAGGAATATGACAACAAAAAAATAAGGAACAAAGAAGCCAGACAGAGGCTTGGAGCTAGGCTGATGTCATTGGTCCCCATAGTACCAAAATCTTTCTCTACTGCAGAGATAGAATAATGAGTAATGACACTGCCCTTAGATAGATGCCCTAAGTTGGATACCACCTGAAGGAAACCTGAGTTGACATTGCAGTAGAGGAAAGATTCATGGTATAATCCCAGTGGAAGGAATCTCTATCACTTGAGACTAAAGAAAGAGTGAACTACATAGCCATATGGTGCACCATCTTCTTTTTGAATGGGCTGTAAGTCTTTTGCCATTGACATTGTAGAAAGAGGAGGGGCCTGGCAAGATCCCTTCCAGGAGCACAATGGGTTGAACTGTTGTTTTCTTGGTTGCTATGGTGGTTCTAGTATGGATTATCCAAATGAGGATAAATTGCAAGGAAGCATGTAACACACTAAGGAATAGTAGGCATGTTCCCCAAGGAGAGGGATGGAAGGAGGAAATTGGATAKTATGTTCCATTTGTAGCTTAGAGTTGCTTCTTGTGAAGAGAGATAAMTCTTTCTCTTCCAAGCTTATCTCCCAAATTGTTATAGATTTCCACAGAGCCAGAGAAAAAGTGGTATCATTTTTAACCTCATGAACTAGAAGAGGTGCTAGGAAGGCTAGAATCATAGTAGTAACTTCTACCAAGATGACTGTTTCTTGTCACTCTAAGGGGTCTTACTTGAAAAGAAGCACAGCCATTGTACTACAAAGTATTGGGGCAGGCTTACCAATTATTTAAAGTATGTATCATAGTAGTGGCTTGATGGGATCTGGTAAAGATGTCAAAAAGAGGTACTAGAGAAGTGTCTGAGAGTGGACTCTATTCATGACACCACAATTTGGAGTATGCATTAGTATRTATTGAAGATGAGCCCATCTTGTGGATCACACTCTGGTAGTCCAAGAAATTGTTTATCAAGAATGGAGGAAAGCTCTGAGTGATTGGATTGATATTTGCATTTGAAGTTCCTACAACATCATGGATGTTCTTGTAGATTGTTTTCTTTTAAATTCTTATGTAGCAAGACAAGGGATGGTAGCTTCAAAATCAGGGGGAAATAAATTACCTTCAGATGGACAGGTATGGGAACATAGGAAAAAGAAGTGGTGAACTCTCTTTGTTAACCATACTCACCAGTGCAGTAGAAAAAAATATATGAGGATTGCATAACATTAACACTACTAGTAACATTACAAATGCAAACGTTAGTATKGAAGCAAGAAAATTCAGGAAATTACAAAAATTTAAACAAGTTCGTAGTACTGTGTTTCTCACTGTAAGTATTACTCACACTGAGCTACAAACATGATGGCAAGAAAYGTCCTTGTGCAATTGCAAATGTATTACTGATGGGTGGCTATTGTCCGGTAAATACTCTAGCAAACAAAAACATAGTAGAATAGAAGCAAGTTATGATTGATTTCCACTAAAGAATATTTATGTTGCTTTGGCACTTAATATGTGACAAATCTAATGTTACACACCTGGGTGATGTATGGGAAAATGAGACTTGTCTCTTGGGATACCACTTGTTACTAGCATTAATCACTTACAAAAAATTGAATGAGTAGAATGTCAATACATTGAAGAATTTTTATTGCAACACACCCATTGTCTTTATCATTGCAAGTGACTTCAATTAACTAAAAGCAGTAATAGTAGGATATTCTTCCTTGYGGCAAAAAAATATCTCTTGAGCAAAAACTCTACTACTACATTTCTTGAACTTCTACAAGCAAATCACAGCAGGTTTGAAGATGATGTTATCTGGGGGGAGCTTCATGACAATGTACAAACAAATGGGTTCAAAGAAGAGCCTGTTAAAATCAGGAGTCCAAAGATAACAAAACATTGGAATTGACCCATACAATATTGCTCATGGTGCAAGATGTACAAATGCATACAAGAACAAGTCGGGAATAAATGATCACATAGTTTTTGATTTTCTCAAAACAACACTCTTGAGATATTTTGTTGTTTATTGATGTGTAGGTGCTAAGAGGGTTGAATGGACAGGAATAGTACCAATTCTTTAAGACAGTGATTATAAAGATGATCACTTTAAATCCTACAAATATAACTTTTTGTGTCCTAAAGAATACTCTGTATCAAAATTCACTAACCCTCTKACTGAAACAAGAAATTGTAAACAAATAATACAGTCAACCCAATTTGTTCCATAGACTCTTCCTCACAGGTTACCAGTACTACAAGGAAGATCTCTGGAAAATGTGTGGGCTCAGTAAGACATGATAGCATTCCAATTCCAATGCCAGGAAGGTCAACTGTGACAATAATAGTAGTGGAATATATGGATACTTTTTTTCTGGTGGGAAGACAATAAGTCAAAAAAATGATACTCTGTTGGTGGGAACACACCAGACAGCATGAGTCAAAGCACTTTTTGTACTACTATGCTGGGGCTGGTGGGAACTGACTTCTAAGAACCCAGTATAACCTTGAGGACTTTGCTTGTCCACCACTTAATGTTAGTACTGCTAACATTACTGCTTACACCCATGGTGCCACAAACATCACAGCATTTAGGACAAGCATGGTTATTAAAATGCATAAGTCACTTAAATGTTTCTCACCATTCTTGTTGTTTTGTCTCTGTTCCATAGTATGCTACAAAGCCAAAACTATTGTATACAGAGGAGGATGATGCATGGGAAATGAGAGCTTATTTGCTAGTAGTAGTAGTAGTAGTAGTAGTAGTAGTAGTAGTAGTAGTAGTAGTAGTAGTAGTAGTAGTAGTATCAAACAACAGTTGGAAACATTAAACTACTAGCTACTACTAGTAGTGTGTTATGTGACAATAGTATGAATAAAAAATTACTACCCATTAAACTCAAACAAGTCACCACAGGCACAAGGGAATAGTATATTTAACTCAATTCCCAATTACTATCCCAATTACTACTAGTACTAATATCGCCAATGCAAGAAGAACTTCCTCTTTTGACAAACTGTAGGGAGGATCTTTCAAAAATGTGTTGGTTTCAACTTGCTGGTGGTCTTACACCACAAGAAGCAGTTGGATTCAGTATGTTGTGCTTCTTCATTCACCAAGAGTTAGTACTACAATTA